GCTCCACTTCTATAATCCGGTTCCGAAGTGTTGGGCTGGCCATGTGTGTCACTTGACTAACCTTGGTGGTGTGTGTTCAATGTTGTGTTGGGCACCCCTCCGTGCTCTGGAAGCTAGTTTGCAGCTCCGTCCGTACTTACTTTTGGCCCTTTCGGTGTGGTCCCTGACAGCTGCGGTGGCGGTCGTCTGCGCTGCTGTGACGGTCGTAGGTAGATCTGCTGCCCTTCCTTCACGCGTTCGCGCTGGCACTTAACTTCTGATCTGTTTCCGCTAAGTACGCTCTGTCAAAGTTTCGAATTTCTAAATAACCAAGTCTCATGTTATGCATTAACTTGACTGATTTACTGATGGGCAGCTGGCTTCAAGCTTGACCCAAGCCACCTGCTGCGTGTCTCAGGGGGCAAATCTCCAACTGTGAGATGGAAGTGAGAAATTTCACAGAACCCTAACCATACACAGAACATCAATTGACCATCCCATAAATTGGACAGTTACAGAAGGACAGGCGAGAGACTGTTCTGTATCACTGTACTCCTTGAAATATATGAAGACATTAGATGATAGCAGCACTTCCGATGTCAGGCATGTCTTGCATGCATCACAACTGACACCATGAAGCACCTGTCTGACAATGGAACCACTAACATAGGCTACTGAGATCAGTTTAAAATTTAAAACTTAAAAAGTTGCATATAAGACAGTAAAATAAGATTTATAATAAAATTGTATATTGATGTACAGTTTCATAAGTAATGAATGATGATGACAATGACGTTTGTTTGATCACAACTGGGTTCTGAAGACAATCACTTCAAAAATTAGCTCTCATTATTCTCTTTAGCCACTTCTTACATAACACAACATTATTCATAGTATAGAGTGCAGTGGTTACTACCTGTAGCCACTAGAGCACTGTGGCTTGCCGCAATGATTGATATGCCTGAGTTCCACATCAGAAGCATTTATATTTACAGGGCTTAGGGGAAACGAGGTTTCTTTCACTGCAAAAGTTGGTGGCTGCTGTTGGTAATGATTGCACTGCAAACATTTTAAAGGAAGAGGAAGGACCATGTGCATGAATAGGAATATGTGTCACAGGGGATGGCACCAGTGTCTTGTTGTAGGTGGTGGGAAATACAACATGAATATAGTCTTTGTGAGTTACAACTGAGGGCTAGGGATTCAAGGGACAGGAGGTTGTGGGAGTGACTGTGAAGCAGAATCTGAGCCACATGGGACTGCTACTCTGTTCAGGTGTACCCTTTCAGCTGTAGTGAAATAACTTTCCAGGAATTTAAAAGTAGAACAAATAGTCTCAAAACATAGAAATAATTCTTCAGTAAACATTACAAACTTGGTGCACATTCTAAATTTTGGGGTTATGTTGAATAAATTGAACACACATATGCTAAACTTAATTTCTTCGTTGGATTAACCAACACATAATAAAGTAATTACACCATGAATTAAAACACACATACCATTCTGGATCCTTGGGAAAGTTGAAGAATTTGACTCCTTGCCTGCTCGATGACAAGCACCCAGCAGCACTGCAACTTTTCGTTTTCACCTTTACACTGCAAGAAATTATAACACCATCACGGTAACCTTAGAACTCCTTAACATTCTAGAAATAATCTTTGGACTGAACAGAAAGTTGGAGAACATATCATAAAACAAATATTGTTTAGACAACAGTTCATCATAACCTCAAAAAATTTTGGGCTCGAAAGAATTCTATATATTTCTAATTTAATTTGTTGTAGTAGGCATAATATTCATAAACACAAATAATATGTTTAAAAAGGAGATGTAACTTCGTTCGTAAATGCCTACTTCCATTTCGCAACCACATCGAATCAAAATTCATACTTACCAACTTGCATATAATGAACCACCATCATCGCATATAATTGTGGGATTTCTAATTGGTTCATTTAGGCTCTCTGATTGGCCGACATCCCTGTGTAGCAGTGTGTAGTGTCTGCCTCCACATATAGAGGCAGTAGTTTCCACTTCTCCTGAGCCAGTTGCCGCCCTCCACGAATTCAACCAGTGATGCCAACCATTCAAATTTTATATTTAAATTTTCTAGGCACGCAAGGATGAACAGGATGAAGTCCTGCTAGTACTGACTGATTTCGGCATGTTTTCGAAATACGTATTTTCTTACACGTGCTGCCACGAAAGATGCATACTACGAGTATTTAACGTTTAATTTTTTTGTAATGTTTGTTAAAGCTGTGTAATTGCTTTAGTACCCAAGAGTTGGAAAGATTATATCCTTTAACAAAGAGGAGGCAAGGGAATTATGAACGTCCCACAGCGTTCCACAGTATCTCAGTATATACTGCATAAGCTGAAGCAATGGGCGTACTTTTCGAATGACCACCGATATAAACACTAACCGAAACAGATTCATCGATTTTAACTCTTTCACTGCTAGTATGGTAAGAAACTCTCAGTACCCTCTGTGCTGAATTATTTTTGAATAAATCCTTTATAAATAATTTAAGTGCAAAATATGAAAATGTGTGATAAAATGTAACTAATCTTACCTCAGACAGAACAGGCAGCAGAAGTTGCAAAAATGTTGAATTATTCAGTATTTTCCACAGGGGAAAAGTCCATACAAATCAGGGTTGTCCAAGATGGTCAAAAAAAGTACATAATTCACTATCCTAGAATCACTGCATTTATATCACAGTCTTATCACTATGTCACATGTTGAACAAAGTCCACAACTCTATTTAAAACTATTATAGATTTTAAACCAAAGTCAGGGCTGTCAAAAGTAATGCATTATGCACATAAAAACTGTAAATACTGTCAGGAAGTGAACGGAGAAGTTCATGGAGGTAGGCCTAGGCCCACTGGGGCTGTAGTGCCAAGGGGAAGGAAGTAGTTTCATTACAATATTAGCACATTCCATTATGAACCTTCAAAAATGTTGTAATGTATGATACTTTTTGAAATATGGGTGTACACAGAGGCCACTATTGCATTTGGCACACATGTACCGGCTCTCACGTCTTCTTCTCTCTCCAGTTGTGGTGTTTGAACACACATGACAATGCCTGTTAGGATACTTTTTCTTTGGTGTTGGTGGTACAGGAGATGGAAAATGTTCTCTAAGTCTGAGTGGTTGGTCACCATCTGAAGGACGTCCTCTTTTACTTGTTTGTCTAGGGATATGGTAGTTTTTGGATGATCTGTCAGAGTAGTTGAAGCTGGAAATCTGCTAGAGATATGTTCTTGCCGGTTTTTACATTGAAAAGTGCATGTGAATTCAAGATGGTGATGTCCAAGAGGTGCAGAAAAAATTTCTATAAGATTTCAGCGATTTTCTTACACTTTCGATAGAGGTGATCATCGTGTCTGTCCTGTCAACTGCTCCCATATTTTTGTTATAATCATTGACACAGTGTGGTTTCTCTGTTTGTTGTTTCGTGTGTCCATCCTGTTTCCTTGTCTGTCTCATTGTATCTGAGTGTTGTGTAGTCAGCATGCAAACTTCCCTGCGGTCCATCCACCTGACAGCTGTTATCTGTTTGTCCTCTATCTAATTTTGTTTCTGAAAATTTAGGCATTCCTTTACTGTTTTTCTTGACAGTGCCACATGTGTTTGTCTTGTTGGTGGGGAGATGGTCATACAATTGTGGATTCGAGCACTAGTTATCTGTCCACAATGTATGACCTTTCTGTAAATATTTCTCCATAAGTGTCATTACAACAGCACCTGATACTCCAAATTCGCAGTCAGGTACTATATCTGTAGTTGCCAATGTGTACCCCTGGTAAATTCTACTGAACTCCTTCAAATTCTGTCATGAACTTACTTTTTACTTTATTTTATAGGTCATTAATTTGTTATTCTTTTTAGCAATCTGTTATTTACTGAAAGAATGACATTCAATAGCCAGACAAGGGATCACATCAAGCCCCTTGCATGAAGTCCCACTTGTACAGAAGATTTACATTCTCCAGAATTTCTCAACATTCAATGAAACCCCATACATACATGCTTTCCCTTTGGACATACTGGAGGAAATCACAGTTTTGATATTATTAACTTGGAATCACTGAAATTGAACATCAAAAAAGTGAAATTATCCGAGGGCTTCATTAATTAACCACCACACCATGAAGATATATGGAGGAATGGAGGTATACCTCCACCATTCTCGACCTTGGCAACAGATGGGTGTGACTGACCTATCTGAGAAGAATGACTTTGGGAAGATGGGCCAAAATTTTGAGTCTTACTCATTTCACCATCTAAACAGCATGACCAACAGTGTATGGTGTCAATTTATGTAGAAGAATGATTACTGCGTCTCAAGAAAGACCTCATCCTCACAGGAACGTTAAACCACCAACGGATGGTACCGTAGACAAGGCTCGCTCTTCTGTAAACTATTCACATGTATCGCTTATTTACTGCTGCAGCCTGAGCTGGTTACAGATACCAGATTAAAAATACAAATTACTTAATAACATATTTTAACTTCCCATATTTAGAGTGTTATATATATATAGTTATATATAATATAATTGTGGAAACTTCCTTACGAATTAAGCAACAATCACTTGTCTAATACTGTTATATAAAAACATATAGGGAGCACAGAAGTGTTAGGAGGCTGTTCTAATCGCCATTATGTATAACAGCATAAAGGTAAACTTTTCTACAATAACGGATACTGTTTTAGGATTCAAATAAGGTGGTTGGTGTCTGCTAGTCATGCAGAAGTAGGAATTGTAACGTGTGGATTGAAACTTATCATTAATACATATATATAGTCATACGCCTGGCTTCACGACACTCGCCCACTGGCATGTTCAAGCCCTAGGTTAGTTGTAGGTTTTATTTATTTTTTTTTCAGTTGCTTCTGGTGAGGCGAGACTGAGTCCACTTGGTACGTCGGTCACTAACTGGCCTATAGTACCAGCCCCGGATGATACGAGTAGATGATGAGTGAGGAGCAGTTGGTGGAAGGAGAATTAGCAGGGGAAACCGAAGTACTCGGAGAAAACCTGCCCCAATGTCACTTTGTCCACCACAAATCCAACATGTCCTGACCTAAGCTTGAACCCGGCGACTGATCACCTGATAAAGTTATTTGGAACTCTTAACCATTTATACCATTTAGACTTTTGAATTGAGCACGATGAAGTGACTATGAATGTGGTGTGTCGTAAAGGCTTGTGTTGCTTGTACTCAGAGCAGGAGTTCATCTTATTCCATGCTTCTCTTTTTAATCTGCAGCCACATCCCACCAGCAGGAGCCAGTATGAATAACTTGGGATCGAACACCAGAGGAACAGGCGTTTTCTTGCTGACACTGAACTGGTATTTGGAGAGAAGAGAAACCAGTCCCACCTTGGTTTGCATCAATCCGAACCGCATCCCTGGAACCGATATTTATGCACTGGTTAATTAGTCATAAACAAAAGTTCGCCTACATGAGGTATGCTAAATATAGTTAAAACAGTTCATATGAACTTTATCATTATGTTTAGAAATTACTCATCAGACGAAAACTGGCAGACAGGTTACAGTCCTGATTTTGTTAAAAGCCGTGCCCTGTACACGAAATAATTTTCAATATGGCATGTATTTAATGAAATCATTTTAATTTTTTTATCAGAGTGACTTCCAAACTTTAGGAATATATAAAAAATACTGAATATCAGAATAAGGGATAAAAATGAAATTTTTATGGTGTTTGTATCCTAACGTTATGTACATATGTATTTACAGTAACGAATAACAAACATAAATACGCAAAGCGAATAATTTTTATGGTGTGCGTTCTCTATTTAAGTGTACCTTTCCACCATTCTTGCGCCTTATGTGGACACAGATGAATATGAAAAATATTACCAGGGCATAAGAATGGATATATATATATATATATAAAATACGTATTACAGGTAAGAACATGTACTTCAGCTCTAACGTGAATTAGGTGTGTACGTTAAGGTCACTGGGAAAATTACCAGCATATCCTTAGGAAAATTTGTTGGCACACATATAAAGCAATGATACACAATTCATTACGCATAAACTGAAACGCTTCTGTTAACATTCATTTGTAATGAAGTATTTTCCTCTGGATGAGTGTCAGACGTAAGTCAATTTGGAGCAAAAGAATTCGTAATTCAAAAGAGAAGTTACAAGCCAAGAAAGAGCATCAGGATGCTTATACACGTATATAATGTATATATATATAAGTTATTACAGGTAGAGTCAGGTATTTCAAATATAACGAGAGTTAGTGAGTTAGTTAATTAAGGAGGGTGGGTTTCCCCATGCACCGCGACCAGTTTGATCTATTGTGCTTCCCTCTATGATATTCTACCAGTCTCTTTACCCTACCGATAAATGGTGCGTACCATCAGTCCCGCCGAGGAAGCGAGTTCGGCCACATGCGTAGCGGTGTCTATAATTATAGACACCGCTACGCATGTGGCCGAACTCGCTTCCTCGGCGGGACTGATGGTACGCACCATTTATCGGTAGGGTAAAGAGACTGGTAGAATATCATAGAGGGAAGCACAATAGATCAAACTGNGATCTGTTTCCGTCCTCAGGCGAGGGAAAACACCTATTCTGTTGGGTCCCTTAGAAAGTGATTGAGGCTAGCTCTTTCTAAGGGACCAAACCGAATAGGTGTTTTCCCTAACCTGAGGACGGAAACAGATCCAGTTTCCGAAACGTCGTGTTTTTCTTATTTATCTTAAAACCAGGACGCTGGATAAAGACCGAAAACCCAATATCTCTGTATAACGAGAGTTAGCCATGCATGTAAATGTTACTAGGAAAATTAAGCATATTCTTCGGAAAACATCCTAAGAATAAATATCTTTTGGAGCGAACTGAAAGCTAAAGATCAATGAAAATGACAGTCGTCCGTTCGGAAATAAAAATACCGAATAAATGAACTCAGTAATCAGTTACTTTTTCTGGAATAACAATATCGTTCCTAAATGAAGGAAAGTCACTGGAATCAGCATTGGAAATGTAGAGACTAACATTCTGACGCAACAGGCTAAGAGCCAAATAAGAAGAGATGATGTTAATCATCTAATAAGATCCTTGTACATTCAATAACACTTTTATCAAATACTTGCTGATGGGTGGAACTTACCTATACAAATTCTGGGCCCCTCTCCGAAAGGAAGGTAGACATAATGGTGTCTCTTCTGCTTCTCTTCCTCACTGAACCGTTCGGGGTCAAACCTGTGAGGTTCGGGGTAATATTTAGGGTCGTGGTGAAGACCAATCACGGGTATGAGAACCCGCATTCGGGTGTCCAGAACAATGTCTGTTCCCGGAATTTTGTATGGCTTCGAACACTCCCGCATTAGCCCTGAAATCGGCGGATATTTTCGGAGAGTTTCTGAAACAGAAGCGTTTGTTTTATCTGAGACACGTGTTCGGGAACTTATATAGTTTGTATTATATAACGTTTTATATAATTTTATGACATGATTTTTCATGGGGCTATACTGTCACCTAAATACACTTCTTAATGGCATTAAAAGTATTCTGTGAATTCAATTTTCAGGGTCTTTTCATGCAATACAATGTTGTCTGTAAACAGAATGAAAATTTTGATTATTAGCTGAGTGATTTTTTTATACACAGATTCAAACCTTAGGGCCACGTGATTTTGTACATCTACTTTATGAAATTAGTGTTACACAACATGGCGAATTAGGGCAAACAATACGATAAATTTCACAGGTTTCATAAGTATTGTCCCATTTAGCCGCAGAAGACAGCTGAAGCCTGGAAGTGACTATCGCAGGAGAAGCAATCCGGACAATTAAATTGTGAACTGTGCAAGTCTGAGAGCGAATGTGCAATGAATTCGCTATATCCAAGACCGGTGCGAAGTTACTTGTCACGTTACACAGCCAACACGTGACAACTGGTGTTAGAATTGGTTACGAACTTAAACACGCCACAATTTAGAACAAATAATTGAGTTTACGAGTGCATTAAACTGCCGCATTATGGAGATGGATCAAATAATGAAACTCCTGCTGGTCATGCGAGAGGAAATGAGAGCTGGCCAAGTACAACTGCTAGAAGACATGAAAGCCTGACGAGGAGAGATGGCTGCCATGCGAGAAAAGACTGACGCCAGCCACAAGGAGATGGTGGCCGAAATCAAACAGAAGACAAAGGGACGATGGTTTGCCGAGAAACGACGGAGGCGCGTCTAGAAGAAAAAGAGCTGACCTCATTGGACAGGAATCCTGATGCGGCAGAGCATCAAGAAGTCCCCAAGGAAGATGCCCTTGTGAAAGCGGTCAAATGACGGAAGTAGTGGCAAAGGGGGGCAAGAAGCAAGCTGCAGGGCGACATGGAGAGCCTAAGGAACTGACCCGAGGAGATTGTGGACCTCCAAGGATAATGGCTGCTGCCTGCAGGAGGGCGTCCCGTCGCGCAACAGTGGCACGACGCAGGAGAGATGCTTTCAAGAAATAACAGACACAAAATCAGGATGGGTGCCGGAAGAAACTTGTCGCCGCCCTCTGAAGGATGACCTGCCGTGCAGGAGTGGCACGGTGCATGGGTCACATCAACGGGAAGAACCAGACTAGGAACAGCGCTGCAAGAGGTGCCCTCAGAGGGCAGAGACGTCAGGTGGAACCGGAGGACAGCACTGGAGTGAAGGATCAACACACAAGACGGCGGCTGCATCTTGCGAACGAGAGAACAGCCAGCCGAACCCTCAGGACGACACTAGGTCTGGATATCAGGAAACGAGCAGTAGAGATTTCCAGTGGATCACAGAAAATCAAGGACTGGCCACTATTGAGGGGTCGACCTCATCCAAAACGAAAGATAAACAGGGAACAGAGGAGGAGCCGGTAACGTAGAAGCACCGACCTCCACAGCGAGACTAAATGAATGAGAGAGAGAAAATGTTTGATGACTGTAATACAACTGGACCTCCTGGCACGTTAGCAGGAAACCGCTCCAGACGAGCTGGTCTTAACGAAGGAGCGGACGTATTGGTTGGAGAACGGACAAACGGAAGGAAAGAAACACCATGACATAGAAAAAAAACGATGAAAGCACAGCCCTTGCAACAAAAGGAACGGGGATGCACCGTTGGGCTATTCGGGACGAACAGCCTTAAGGAGGGTGCAATGTCGCGTATTGGCTCTATGCAGGAACTGATGAGCCACAGAGGCCTCGGGGCACGCGTGCAACGGGAGAGTTGTGGATTGTATCGGCTCGTTGCTAGGCGACAACTCCGTGAACGCTTGGCTAGCCCAACAGGAAGTGCTAGTGACGTCACATATCCCCACTAATCCCGTAACTACGCAACGCTCGGTAAACACCCCACTCCGCTAGGCTGTGACGTCACGCAACAGTGACAACTATCACGTAACTGGTTTCTATAGAGTTCGTTGCTGGGCAATAGGCTGATTTCTGTGTGGTCAGTGCAGAAGCTACATTACGAGAGTATTCGTCAGGGTTGAGCCGTCAGCGGCAGACACCTACCTCCTAAAATTGCAGCGCATGCCAAACAAGGTTTTGCGCACCACTGGAAATTTTCCAAGGTGCACATCAGTGCGCCACTTGCACACGGCTTTCAACTTTCCGTATGTATACGATTATATAACGAAATTGTGCAGACGACAAGATGGAGTCATACAAATTCATGATAATGAACGCGTTCCCGGTATAGGACAAGGTGTAGCCAGACACTAAATATAAGAGGTTTAAACTTGGCGGTGGTCAAGCTTATGACCGTTCAAATGACTAAGTTTTCATTGTAGCATAAGATCTGTAAGTTAGGCACGATCTGCTCTGTAAAGCCTGTAATGACAGAGGACTTGTGTGTAAAGCAAAAGGAAGAGTTTTCGATAACATATAATATGTGCGAAATATACACTGAGTGTATTCATGAGAGACAGACCCATCTTCTCGTCAGAGAGGATGTTACATAAGGATTATTTCCGCAAGAGTTCAATTGGGAAAAAATCTCTGGTCGTGTTCCTCAAGGAGCCTGACGCCAAGACGAACTGATTGGCAGTAAATCGCCAGTCGTAAAGTAACTCTGACTCTGACTGTTGAACCGTGAGAGACAGTAATAATGGTCGCGAGTCCCAAGGGACTCGGACGGGAGGAAGACTGCGCTGGCAAGGGCCAGCAGCATATACAAAAGACAGACCCGTTCTTTGTTATAAATGGCACCCCACAGAGAAAACAGTAATAAATATCTGGTCATGAGCTCCAGATAGGGCTCGACACCAAGACTTACTGACTTTGACTTTGACTTGTTGAGCTGTCCAGGTGAGTATTCATCAGTGTCGAGCCAGTGGCAACCCGTGTGGAAGCGGGGTCGAATGCCTCCACCGTGACCCTGCAAGTCGTAGAAGGCGACGAAAAGGAAGCTTCAAATCTGAGACAGTAAAATAAGGTCGCGGGTCCCAAGGGACGCGGACCCGAGAAAGATTGCGCTGGCAAATGCCAGCTGCATATACAAAAGACAGAGACCCGTCTTCTCGTCAGAGAGGGCTCCCAACAGAAACAAGACCGTAATTGTCAAACGGTAATAATAAATATCTGGTCATGATTACTCACTGACTGGACTGACTGACCGTCAGTCGCAACGTGACTTTGAATTGTTGAGCCGTATAGTACTATCGACTATGACTGACAAATGACAGACCCGACCTCTCGTCAGAGAGCCCCCCCCCCTTGGACAGGACAGTAACTTTCATTTAAAAAGTAACATCTGTTCATGAGCCCCAGCCGGGGATCGACACCAAGACATACAGACAGACTGACCGTCAGTCGTCATGTGACTTTGACTTGTTGAACCGTAGACACCCATCTAATGAATTGCAGCGCCTGCAAAACAAGGTTCTCCGCACCATTGACAATTTTCCAAGCCACACACCGGTCCGCGATTTACGCATGGCTTTCAAAATTCCGTACGTATAAGATTATATAACAAAATTATGAAGGCAAGAAGCAGACGTCACACAAAATCACGATAATGAAAATGTTCGCAACATCGGACAAGGCGAAGCCCGCCACAGAAAGTATAAAGGCTTAAACTTGGAGGTGGTCAGTCATAAGACCGTTCAAGTGACTAGACTGTCGTGGTAGCGATTACTACTAGAAATAGGGCATAATCTGCTGTACTGAGCCTGGACTGACAGAGGCCTTGTATATATTGTACACAGAAGTAGGAAGTAGGATTAAATTTGTAAATATATATATAAATACAGACAATGGACTTACTAATACAGGCTATGACTGACATTATGACAGAGCCGACCTCTCGTCACAGAGGGCGCCCAAAATGGACAGGACAGTAACTTTCATATAAGAAGAAACCTCTGATCATGAGCCCCAGCTGGCAGAATGATCGAACGTCAGTCGCAATGTGACTTTGACTTATGTCGTGTGGTGGCGGGGTCGAATACCTCCACCGTGACCATGCGAGTCGTAGGAGGCGACGAAAAGGGAAGTATCAGATCTGAGACAGTAAAATATGGTCGCGAGTCCGAAGGGACTTGGACCCGAGGAAGACTGTGCTGACCAGGCCCAGTAGCACATACAAAAAGCAGACCAGCCTTCTTGTCAGAGAGAGGGCTCCACAAAACTAAGAACGTAACTGTCAAACAGTAATAAACATCCTGTTATGAGCCTAAGATGGGACTCCATACCAAGACTTACTTACTGACTGACTGACTGACCGACCGTCCGTCGCAATATGACTTTAACGTTGACTTTGTTGAACCAATATGAATTGTTGAGCTGTATCAAGTGAATGGATTAAAGAAAGTTGAAGCCTGGAAGTGACTACAGCAGGAGAAGTAATTGGGATACTGAAGTTGTGAGTTATGTAACTGCGGATAAAGGTGTGCAATAAATTCGCTAGATCCAAGACCGGCGTGAAGTTATTTGTCGTGTCACACAACAGAAACACGTGACAACTGGTGGGCATGGGTTCGAATTCCACTTCTGACACCAGTTGTCACGTGTTTCTGTGTATGTGACGCGACAAATAACTTCACGCCGGCCTTGGATCTAGCGAATTTATTGCACACCTTTATCCGCAGTTACATAACTCACAACTTCAGTATCCCAATTACTTCTCCTGCTGTAGTAACTTCCAGGCTTCAACTGTCTTGATTCCTTTTCGCTCGATACAACTCAACAACTCATATTGGCTTAACAGGTGGAAGTCAAAGTCACATTGCGACTGACGGTCAGTCAATAAGTCTTGGTGTCATTAATTATTACCGTTTGATAGTTACGGTCTTGTGGGGAGCCCTGTCTGACGAGAGGACGGGTCTGTCTCTTACATATGCTGATGGCCTTTGTCAGCGCGGTCTTTCTCGGGTCCGAGTCCCTTGGGACTCGCGACCATATTTTACTGTCTCAGATATGAGACTCCCCTTTTCGTCGCCTCCTATGACTCGTGTGGTCACGGTGGAGGTATTTGACCCCGCCTCCACACGGGGGACTGGCTCAACACTGACGAATACTCTCGTTATGTAGCTTCCCCACTGACCACACAGAAAAAAGCCTATTGCCCACCAGCGCACTCAATAGAAACCAGTTAAGTGATAGTTGTCACTGTTGCGTTAGGTCACAGCCTAGCGGGATTGGGTGTTTACCGAGCGTTGCGTAGTTACGGGATGAGTGGGGATATGTGACGTCACTCGCCCTTCTGTTGCGCTATCCAAGAGTTCACGGAGTTGTCGTCTAGAAACGTGCCGATGCAATCAGCAACCCTCCCGTTGCGCGCGTCAGCATAGGCCTCTGTGGCTCAACAGTTACTGCATAGAGTCAATAGGTCATAGTATGTTTCCAACGATTTCTTTTCACTGTCATCATGGCGACTTTAGCTGTTGAATGAATAAACAGTCATTTCTGTAGGTACTTCTGCTCTCTAACAAGTTCAGGTGATTGGGGGGAGAGGGGGGCGCTTACAAAATTACATATTCATATAGTTTACAACCATTAACAATTTTAAATACTTTTGGAATTTTCGATAGAGATTGATTACATAAATAGCCGATTAATGAGTTTCAGTCTTATTCAGCAGACGAACAGTACATTCGTTGACAGGTCTACTTGCAAAGGTCAGATGTCGCTGTTTTGATTATGCAAACTGCTTCCCATGCCGACTGGATTTTTACGGAGTAAAGAACCTTCTGCCCTATATCCGTTAAACAGTAGGCTGAACGCGGTGATGCAGAGAACAATTTCAACTACCATCTCGGGGCTCGGTTCCTAGTAGTACAGTCCGTGGACATCACTTCAGTGTGGGAAAGGGCGACGCTTGTAAAACTAACTTAGAATACAGCACACAGACAAGAGTAGGAGAGAATGTCGTGCCGTTTGTCCTACCTGATACAACTTTGTCCAAGTAGCTCATCTCCTGGATGGCTTCGTATGATAGTTTCCCGTCGTGTTTCTCCAGCACCATGTCGATCTCTGTGCGCAGGCGCTCCTGTATGTCTGGGTTTACTGACAGCTCGTACAGGCAAAACGTCATGGTAGTCGAGGATGTCTCAAAACCCGCAAGGAAGAAGACAAAAGCTTGGGCAGCCAGGGAGTTCATTGACAGACCTGTAGAGTGGTACATACTTGTACACTTCATAAACTAACTAATCAAGAAACCGACTAAACCAGCTAACTGAGACATTATTGGAATATTAAAGCTGTCCAGTATAACAAACTTAACAGAAGAGATAAAATGACATGTATACACTTATATGTTTCGGTGTGAAATGAATGTTGGAGACATGGAACGGACGTGTTAAGGATTGGATGCATCCGGCTCTTTTGACCACGGTAATGGGACTTCGGGCTCAATAAAATTTTGGGATTTTTTTTTTGTTTCTGCCCAACTCTTGGCTTCTCAGGAAGAATTCGGCTCCATGGAGTTCGGTAAAATTAACCACTGCCGGGCAACCAAAATTAGGAGTTTGCTAACGACAGGAGCAGTAATTGAACCAATTAAAGTAAGCATGTTTCTGAGAATTCAGTTATATTCCCAAAATCTTGCAGAAAATTGCATTGTAAATGCGTCTTTCCTGCTATGTAGCCATTCTCTATATGCCGGTGACAAGTTTATATGAAATAAACAACTAGAAAATCTGTGCTCAAGGCGTCATTGCACCGTTTTATGTTACCATATTAATTAAATGAACACAGTGAACTTAGTAAAATAACTAACCGAACTAAGTAGTTAGTTAGTTATTAGAGAGGTCGGGTTTCCCCATGCACTTAGACCTGTAGTGGTCCATTGTGCTTCCCTCTGTGATTTCTACCAGCGTCTATATCCTGCCGGTACTGGTGCTTACCATCAGTCCCGCCCAGCCAGCGAGACCGGCTCTACTGGCTGAGTACCGAACTAAGTATGACAGTTATAAACTGAATAACAGAATTAAAATAGCAGAACTAACAGGACTTCGGAACTAAGTAAGTAAGTGTTACAGTGTATTCCTTGGCCACGCAACAATATTCAACTTGTCAATAAATACACTGTAATCAAGTTTGAAGCTGTATAATTGTGTTTGTTGTGTCTAACTAAATAATGAGCCAATTCAGTCCTCTTCACACCCTCGAAATGTATCTGTTTTTATTAGTTTCATTATACCTCGCAACCACGCATCAGTAGAAAGTTTCTTTCTCATCTTGATTTCGTTCGTAATAAAAGTAGCCCTTACTTAAGAAAAGTATTTGAAGCATATGTAGAAGGACCGACAAAAGTGAATTACGTTCTATCGTTTTGAGAGACAGATAAATTAAAAAATTCAGCATTAGTCCAGTGTCATGAAAGTTGATGCACATAGAAGCTAAATTTATCTAAGGGAAACTGCCGACATGAGTGTGTACATACCATCCGCTGTTTCACCAATTCCACTGAATTCTTCGTCACTTCGGTCCTCAGCTCCCTGTTCGGAGTCCAAGCTGCCCTTCTGCTTAAGCTGTATCAACAGTTGCATGAAATCATTGCGCTTCACGTTATTCATTTCGCGATATTCAACTGTTTCCTGCACCATTTTGCGGAAATATTTGGAAACGTTTGGATCAAAAGTAGACAACTTTAGCTTATCTAACACAATTGGTGCAGTATTTGATAAAATTGCCATAATTATTTGTCTGATTGATGGTTGGAAAATTTTTCTTCCCCACTGTCTAAATTCCGCGTTTTCATTCTTCAGGCAATTGCACTCGATACCAAAAGCACAGGACGAAATTACGTCCGTGCTGAACCTACCTAAAATATCCTTGACCTCAATAACCTCTCCCCTTCCCGCAATATTTTCCAAGCATAGTTTGAGTTCGTCTCCACATTCTACAAGTCTCTGGAACATCATTTTCATCTTCCCGGATGTGAAAGTTGGGCTCAACTTGACCCTAAGGTTTCTCCATCGCTTTCCGGGTAATGAAAATAAATTCCCTGTCAGAGGTTCTACTTCTTCATTCATATAGACACCACGATCATGGAAAGTAGAGAAATCCTTAACTAGAACATCCTTAATTAGATCAGGGTCTCGGAGTAATAATAGCGGACTGTTGAGCATATAAACTCCTCCATATCTGTGCCCTTCAAGCCTTGTGTAAATGTCTCTCATGAAATATCCGAAATGTTTCCGCACTAAAGCCACCTCCCCGAAATTTCCAAATGGGAAACACGGTTCGACGTACGGTACATTACGTTTCTTCCAGTAAGAGAATGACCACTTGGAATAGGCGTAAACCACTGAGAGGACACAAGCCACCAGGATCCCCACATCCAGAAAAAGTGACTCAAACAGCAACCCCATACTTGTCAGTAAGACTCTGCTGAACGTGTAAAGGTCCGGCCTGTTGAAAAATTCATTAGAATTCAGATTAGAAAAGTCGACTGTAAAATACTTTTCAACAAAACTGAGAAATATATATACAAGTGCAAGCAAAAACTTCATACGAGATTAAGAGAGACGTTAAGGAACTCATCAAAATAAAGTAAAACAGCACGAGCTACAAACCACGATATCTATATGTATTATTTCATACACTATACATTAGGTATGTTTAACGAAGAGAATTGAGAAGGAAATGCTCCTAGAAGGCAGTTTTATTGTATTTTCCCATTTTGTTCTCCTTTCCGATATTCTAAAGTACTCAATTACCTTCTTTCCCAGAAAACGTTTATGTCGCTCTCAGATACTACCAAACATTTTTACTACTATCCATTTATCCTTTAAAACGGCTCTCGAATAAATTATACCGGAATTGCAAGATATAAATAATACAAAGCTGCATTAAAACATATACATTTAAAATTCTTATACATATTTTGTCACGTGTATGAGAGACTACAGACGCGTTTCGACTTATGGTTGGATTTAGTGAAGGCCTGTAAGCACAAGTCGTAACTACAAGTAATTATCGCTAATGTCCACACTTTACAAATCACTTGAACACACGCTAAGCTTTATGAGTGTCTACAGTTTGTGATCATGATGATGACGTAATAATCTATAGTAATAACAAAGAACATGACCGTAAAGCAATAAAATAATTTATCTTTATATACATAACTTCAGAAAACCATACGTTTATATCGTTCAGTTTATATTTCAATGTCGGAGTTGTCAGACGTGACTTGTTCCTATGACCGGAAGGGGCGTGGGAGATGATTAAGAGCTTAAGATTTGAAGCAGTGTAACATTCTACTGAGTTTTCGTCACCAAAACGGCTTAAGACTCCATGCATTGTAATGTTGGCTGCGGTGATTAGCTTTATCAACAGTATGCTGTGACTGGAAGTAAACATGAAGGAACACTCAGGAATGCACAAGGAGTAGGAGCGCCACTGGCAACAGTTTACAGTTCTCACAACTGTCGGTTCTGCTTATTACTTACAATCATTTGTATTATTTGAGCAGTAATCTTAGGTACAACACGTAACTTGTACGCACAAGATTGTCTGCTGTGTTATACGTGGGGTCCAAGAATCTGCTGTCCTGAACGTCGCACTTCCAACACGCTTTCTGACGTACTAGCACAAATGTGGCCATAATTTCCGAGCAGAAAATTATGACGTCAGTTCTCGCCATATGATTGGTTGTTGCGTCATACTGCCTTCATATGGCAACGCCTATTTCGGCGTATCTGAAGTGGTAGCCTTCAAACACACACGAGGTCATTATCGCGCAAGTCATTGTTACACAGCTTCTATCGTTGATGTTTCAAGACGGAAATTTGGTGGGCGCGCCATAGCTCAGGCAGTTAGTCTCTGGTTTCCCACCGCGTCGGACCAGGTTCGAGCCCAGTTCTGGTCATGGGGGCAGGTTTCATCCGAGTACATCGATTTCTGCTGCCAATCGTTATTCCACCAATTGCTCCACAATCACCATTATCTATCACAGGGGGTTGGCATGAGTTCAGTAAGCCAGTAGAGGCCGCCGTACCATGTGGACTCAGTCTCACCCCACTAAAAATAATAATGAGATTACAACTTCATTGTGAACTGTGTTACCGCGAGATTATCGGCTTTATAACCATTCACGTGTCCTGTACGGTTCCTGCATAATTTGAATAAAATGAACGCATGATTTGGAAATAATTTTTATCCATCATTTGATATGTGTTATGTTCAAAATCAAATACACGACTTCTTATTGAGAGGTTTACACTTAAGCAATAAAGTAAATTTCGTCTTGTTTCTACCACCAAAGTTGTGACGAGTGGTTAGTTCCCCTCTTGCATGATGAGGAAGATTCGTCTTCAAATCTCTGTCCAGAGGCTGCCTATAGTGACAATATTATAGTGATATTCGTTGTCTTCAGTACATGCAGGATATTGCTGGGATAGAAAGTTTTACTTGAAACCTGCTCAAAGTTTCTTCCTTCCACATCTTATTCAAATATCTTAACCACTTTTCATCCTTGCGTTCGACAGCTACATAACCCGAGCTACTGAAAACGCTCCTGCGTGAATTAATTAAGGATGAATAATCTAATTCCCTTAGTCATAACTCAGTGCGCCGGACGATATTGTCTAGAACGTGCAATCTCAATGTATCTCGCTTCTTGGAAGAGATAAATTTCAAACTGTTGTAATTTATCTGATGCAATTTAACACGATGGGAAGGACACGCTTGTCTGTAAAGGTGAAATGTGGAACCTTTAGGTTACACCTGCACTCCGCGCCTTTATCAGCAGCATGGCTTCTCCTCAGAGCATTTCTGTTATTTATGTATTTATTTACTGTCTTTGCTGTCTCCTAGGATTTTTAAGAATCTGTAATGAGAATGACCAGTAAGAGTACAATTGAATGTGAATTTGGGTTGAGTTTTGGGATTAACTTTTGTTGGAGTATTTACAAATGTATTTCATCTGGGAATGTTATGTATTACCGAACGAGACCGAAAATTTTTCAGGAACACTGATTTGTATGAAACCCAATTAAGAATTCTTTTCCTTTGGCGTAACAGCTCCAATTTGGGCCTTGGACTACATCCATGCAACTCTCCGTTTCATTTCGCTTTACTAGATTTTAGACATTCGGTAGGACTCCTTGGCCGGGTGATTAGCTCGTCGCAAGGCCTCTACCTGTACACAAACAGGAAAACGCACGCACACGCACACACACACACACACACAGAGAACATTCATGCTCTGATTGGGATTCGAACCCACGATCCCGGCTTCCGAGAGAGCGAAGACCGTGCATGCCTTAGCCTGCTCGGCTACCGTGACCTACCCCAATTACGCATAGAGTAGTGAAAACAGATTTACATGTTTTCTGGCACATGACCTTGGCCAGGTCAGAGGAACTTGCTGCGTTCTTCTCTATAGTTATCTACACTGTAGAATGAGTCAGCACGTTCTTCTGAATCGTAGGGACATGTCTACCAAACAAAACGGCATCACTACCTAGAAGACCTTGACCTTCACATACGTTTGAAACTCAGACTTCACAATCAGATGAAGCGTACGTGAAAACAACAAAGGATTTGTAACTATTTAAAATGTTATCATTTATCATTTTACCTATTAACACTTACACCCGTCCACCGTGTATTCTACCATGTTGTATGAGCAATGTGTAATTTCACGTAATCTAGGGCATAGCATGAAGGTCATATTTTGACGCTGAAACGTGAGGGCCTAACAAATTGCTAAATATTTTACCGGTTTAAGTTGTGGGGACGGAGCAGCAGAAAGCACTCTCCGTAGTGTTGCAGTTTCACGAACTGATTAACAGAAAGCGACCTATGAGTAATTGCGTATTTCGTTCCCTTAATTTTCTTTCGTTTATTTGATAAGTTTTCTGAAGAGTTCTCCTTTATAAAGGCCATACGAAGCCTTTGTTCTATTGTAAAATCTGTAATAAATTATAATTAAAACGAGGCGAATATTACATTGGCCTCTTTCTAAACTCACCTGTGTTGTAAGTATCACATTATAATACAAGTTGATCTACTCGGTACTGTCTGAGCTTGAATTTCGTGTATGTTATAACGCGGAGCTTAATTATTAATAGAAAGTAACACAGTTCTATGCCGGTCAAGGTAGCCGAGCGGTCTAAGGCATGCACTGTCTTCGCTCGCTCGGAAGCCGGGATCGTGGGTTCGAATCCCAGTCAGGGCATGGGTGTTTGTGTGCGTTTTTCTGTGTTTGTCTACAGGTAGAGGCCTTGCGACGAGCTGATCACGCGCCCAAGGAGTCCTACCGTATGTGTAAGATCTAGTAAACAGAAGTGAAATGGAGAGTTTCATGGAGGTAGGCCTTGGCCCAAATTGGGGCTGTAGCGCCACAGGAAAAAGGAAGAACACTGTTCGATTCGCCTCTCCCACAAGACATCTTTGGTAATAGTTATTTCTACCTGAATATTTTATGCGCCTGTCACTCTTTTCGTCTATTATTGGCTTCTATGATATGTGTTCATTTAAGAAACTTTATTCTATCGGAACGAATATTGGTTATTGCTCAGCTGATCAGTGTGATAAGAATAACATCGATATATGTTAGGGAGTACTGCTACTTTTCATGAGGTTTCGAAGTCCTCTCTCTACTCCGCAAGCACCCACACATATACATACAAAAACTCAAGCACAAAAATGAGGACCCGTTTTCGATTCTCGACACGGAGGTCGGCTGTTTTGGCTGGTGCTTTTCATGAATTTTCGAAGTCCCTATAGGCAAATAGAGCGATTAACATAAAAGGACGCAATGACCGCTTGCTAGCTCCGCTCTCCTCTTCCTTTTGTGTTATGTTATTTTTTCTAAGATATTTCATACTAACTGAAATTATGGACACCGACAATACTAAATATTTACTAAATTCCTTCTAAAAATGAGTTATATGAAATCAAAATAAAGATGTCCCTGTACCTGAGTAATTAGAAACAACGAAAGGAAGGTGTATGGGGAATTGGATGTTTAGACCCATATATTGTTGACACTGGCACTAGTTGTAGATTAATGGCGAGCTTCACACCACGCTCGCTTTACTCACGGAGAAAGAGCTCCAGGTAACCTTTGGTTAGAAGATTGGAGGACTTCAAACTGGTTGGACGACATGGAGAATAGAACAATCTCGCACCTACTGGGGCTGGAACACTGATCCCTGGGCCGTCCAGCCCGTAGCCAGTAGCCATTCGCAATACCAACTGCGCTATCCCGGATTTGGTACATGATTTACCTTAATTTATAACTTCGTTGAAAAATTCTGACGGTTTTGTCCTCAGTAGAAGAAAATATTATTATAGGAATCTCGTGAAAATGAAACCAAGTAACTAATGCCTCCCGTGGAAACGAAATGTAACCTTCGGGTTCCAAAAAGGGTGGGGGGTGGGGTAATTTCTTGAGTAAATATAGAGTGAACGCGGAAGGGTTCGGAGGTGGTTCAAACTACCGTTATCTGTTCTAGGATTCAAATAAGATGGTTGGTGTCTGCTAGTCATGCAGAAGTGCGGATTGTCACGTGTGCATCGAAACTTATCAGTAGTACATAACTATAGCCATACGCCTTACTTTACGGACACTCCGTCACCGGCACGTTCAAACCTTAGGATAATTGTTTTTTTAATGTCTTCGGGTGGGGCGAGACTTAGTCCACTTGGTATGTTGGCAACTAACTGGCCTATTGTACCAGCCCCGGATGATAGATAATGAGTGAGTAGTAATCGGTGGAATGAGAATTGGCAGGGGAAACCGAAGTACTCGGAGAAATCCTGCCCCAGTGCAACTTTTTCCACCACAAATCACACATAACCTCACTTGGGTTCGAACCCGGGCTACCGTGGTGGGAAGCCGGCGATTAACCGCTTGAGAAAGTTAGTTATAACTAATAACAATTTATACCACTGAGACTTTTGGATTGAGGACGGTTTCGTGTCTACGAATGTGCTGTGTCGTAAGGCTTGTGTTGCTTGCATCCAGAGCAGGAGTTCAGCTTATTTCATTCTCCTATTTTCAATCTGCAGCCACATTCCTCCGGCAGGAGCCAATATGAATGACTTTGCGTCGAACATCAGAGGAACAGGAGTTTTCTTGCTGACACTGAACTGGTATTTGGACAGAAGAGAAACCAGCCCCACCTTGGTTTGCATCAATCCGAACCGCATTCCTGGAACCGATGTTTACACGTTGGTTACTAAGTAAGCAAACCAAAGTTCGCCTACATTTGGTATGTTAAATTATGTTAAAGTAGTTCATATGAACTTTATTGTTATGCTCAGAAGTTACTCATCACACAAAAACTGGCAGACAGTATACAAAAAGGGTTTCATTAAAAGCCGTGCCCTGTACCCGAAAGTATTTTCAATATGGAGTGCATTTAACTAACTAAATAGAACTAATTCCTTGTTCTTTTCAGCGTCACTAACGCACTGTACTTCCGCAACGTCAGAAGTGTATCCACAGTAGTGAATATAAATTATAAAGAATCAAAATAAAATAAAATTCTGTGGCGTATTCTTACGCCTTATGTGAACACAGATTGATATAAAAGAGGAATTACAAAGACATAAAATGTATATATATATTTAAAATATTACAGTTGTGAACAGGTACTTGAGATTCAACGGGAATTAGGCATGCACGTAAATGTCACTGGGAAAATTATTAGCATAAAAAGTAAAAAAGTAAAGCTATCCCTGTAACAGGCCGTGAAGGCCCATAGGGTTGTGAGACGTTAAGGGTCCCATATTACCTTGACAATCGGCTCAAAGATGGCGGTAAAGTTGTCAGCCTTACGCACCGACCCCGCTTTACTCCCCAGGAAAATTATTTAATTAATTCCTGGTACTCATTTCTGGTTGAGGCTGAGTAAACCCCAGGGCCTAGTGCGGCCGGAAGGATTAGGTCAATTGAAAAAAAATCCAATGACCTCATCGGGACTTCAGGCCGCGACCTTCCGGCTTGTAGCATAGTACCTCATTTGCATTGCTCTTTTGTTCTATGTTTGCTCTAAAATGAATTTATTCTTAGGATGTTTTCTGACGGAAATGGAGCGACTAATATCCTGAACAAAGCAGGCTAAGAGCCAAATGAGAAGAGATGATGTTTATCACCTAATAAAATCCTTCTACATTCAATAACACTTTTATCGAATACTTGCTGATGGGTGGAACTTACCTATACAAATTCTGGGCCCCTCTCCGAAAGGAAGATAGACATAATGGTGTCTCTTCTGCTTCTCTTCCTCACTGAACCGTTCGGGGTCAAACCTGTCAGGTTCGGGGTAAAATTTAGGGTCGAGGTGTAGACCAATCACGGGTATGACAACCCGAGTTCCTTTATCCAAAACAATGTCTGTTTCCGGAATTTTGTACGGCTTCGAACACTGGCGCATTAAAGATGAAAGTGGTGGATATTTTCTGAGAGTTTCTGAAACAGAAGCGTTTATTCAATCTAAGATACATATTTACAAATTTTGGTTCTATCGCCGACTTTCTTCAGTGCAGCAATGTGATGTAGGTCATAGGTGAAGTGACAATAAATATCACTCACACTCGATTAGACTTATTGCAGCCCCATGGGTATAACATCTGTAAGTCTTCTGTTCTTTTCCTTCTTTCTTCGTTTTTATTATCTCCTTTTTAGCATATTTTATCGGCGGCTTAGGCTCAAGCACTTTCCTATATCTTAGCAAGTGAATCTAAACTGCTAACTGCATGCTTTGAAATACTTTCTGAATTCAAGAGGCCTTACATAAGCTCATTTCGAAAATCTATGTTTACATGTCAAGTGATTGACGTTGCCTCAGGATTTCTGGAAAGCTGACATTGAACATGAACGTGAGCGTGGTATATTATACGTCATGGAATTTTAGGATATCTTTTTTTAATTATCATCCGACGCTTCTTCTCTCACTTGTGATTGGCATAAAGACGTACTTTCTATGACTGAACTGTTGCTACAGACGAACCAGTTGACACCAACAGTAAATTGGTAATGTTAACATAAAATCAGTTTTGCTGCTGACAATCAAATTCCAGAGGACTTTTGTTACCAGAAATGCGAATAGAACTTACAAAGAAATGTTTGAGAAAAAATTGTTAAGTCTATGAGATTTGTTACAGAGAACGGTGGGGTAAATGCTGCGTGCTAATTCAATACTGCCATTGGTGTTCCAGAACAACTTATAAATGAAAGGTGTGGAGATAACCTGTCGGTAATTGTTTCTATGGAGTGCATAAATAAATACTGAAATTCTAAGCCTCAAGGGTAATGATCAACATCAATAATGGCTTTAGGTTTATATTTAATAGGTCCATCAAAGAATAGGTTTTGGTGAAGATACTTTCCATTAACACGAAACTCACGCGACAGTGTATATATACAGGGTGTCCCAGGAGGAATGGACCAAACTTCGGGAGGTTGTTCCTTATGTTAAAGTATGCCGATATAACCCAAACCCAAGGCGTTTTCCCGATCGAAGGATTCCATCTCGACGTGTATTTACGCGAATTCACCAGACATTGCGTGAGACTGGTTCTCTTCCGAGTGTTTCTGTGCAGTCGGAAAGGGAGGATGTACAAATGAGAAACACATGAGAGAACATTCTTGGCATGATTGATAGAAGTCCGCGTC